TAGAAGCTTTTCTAATATAATAAAAATAATCGATATTGTTTTTAACGTTCTGTGACCCACACACACTATGTTTCAGTAGGGGTCGGACATTCTGTCCTCAAACCCTCACTTTCACATTGTGTCCTTATCTAATATTTTGCATAAATAAGCAAAATCAGTTTCATATATTTGTTGTTTTTCATTATCACTTTCAATAATATAATCATCTTCATTCTCAGTAATTGAATTTTGGATCAATAAAATATTTGAAATTTTATAATTTTAAGAAGCTTCTAAACTAAATACATTAACCAATTCACCTTTATAAGATAAAATTAATAGATAATTTACATTTCTTTGTACCTTTAATTAGAAACATTATTAATTAAATAATGAATATAAATATCAAAATCAAAACAACTTGTCACTTACTTTCTTAAAGAATATTGCATCAACTTTTTCAACAGGATTAACTAGATGTTTAAACAAAAAAAAATGGCTTTGAATATATGTAGGATATGTACATATCCACTTTATTGGATCTGTAAAATATTTGTCATTTATTTCTATAGTTTTTTTTCATATTACTTCTATTCTTTTTTAAACTCCTTCTGCTATGATACTGAATAACAACCTTGTTGAAGTAATTGAATTCAATATAATTGCTAGCTGATCATTTTTTTAATAAGAATAAAACATAAATTATCAACTCAGAGCTTGTGAAATTTATATAAATGGTCATATTTAATATATCGTCAATGTGATTCAACGATCATTGTAATTTTAATATGACTAATATTTTTATTAACCGCTCTTGCCCATAAATTTCACTTTTTTTTTGAATATTATTCTTTCCATAGGTAAATCCATAATCAGAGTAATTCATTATCTTTGCAAAATTCTATAATTTCTTTAACACACTCTTTCTAAATTTCATCTGCATTTGTAATAAAGTTGTCATCATATTTTGGCAATAACATATGATAATTTGAATGATTTTTAACAAGTTTAATTACATTTTTCTCGTAAATTTAAAGGGAAAAATACTGAATTTAAATTATTTACAATTCCCTAACTAGGATCTATTGTTGAACATTCTTCATATGCAGCTTTTGGATTATAAGAATAGTATACACTAATTTTATTAGATGATAAATGTTGCTTAATAACCCATCTTAAATGCCAGATACATAATTGTAAATGTGCTTCAGGTCATACTGTTTGCGTTGCATTAATTTCTGCAAAATCTTTATCAATTAAAATAAAAGAAAAGTTTCTCAGATTTCGTTCTTTTAAAGCTTGCATCTACTGAATAAGAATCCCTATTATATTTCGATTTTTTCCAACTGAAATTATAAGATAGCTAAGAGGAAATCCAGTACCATCTATTACATCCATAATTGCATATAATTTCCATACCAAATTATTGGTACCATAAGTTGCATCGATTTTAATTGCTTAAAAATTATAGTAAAGCAATTTGTAAAACAATTTGTTAAAAATCCAAGAGCAGGTATAGAAGTATCAAGATTATTTACTATAATTTCTTGGTTAAACTCTTCTAACAAACATTTTGCTGATAATAAAGGATTGGTATTATGGCAGTATGCTTTACGAGATTAAATAGACCACTAATAATAAGTTTGTTAAACTGTTATATTTTCATACCTAATAATTAGATTTTCTCGAATTTAGTGCCAAATATCTGAAACAGGACAATTGAGATTATCTTGAATAAATTTTTTAATTTCATATGTTGTATTAACATACCTTGGTCGTGAAAGTAACATTTTATGAAAATATTTAATTTTGATTAAGCCCAATTGTGATAATATTTCTATATTTATTGTTCCATTACAATGATAACATTCTAAATAGGTAGATGTGTCTCTTTGTTTATCTGCTATGGAATGCTTTACTTGCTGTTTTCCAAGCTCAATTCGACAATTGCAATAATATAATATATGAAGAGTGTTTTTTTTTTTATTTTTATTCTGATAAACCCATGAATATCCATCACCTTCTGAAATCAATGTTATTACATGATTGCTAACTTCAATTTTGAGATTTTTCTTATTTGATGCATCTTTTTCTAAAATAAAGTTAAGAAAAGATGATAATTCAATATCGAGATTAAGATTTAACTCCACATTTTCCCCTTCATAATATTCATTAGTATCATTTAGAGAAATTAAATGATTATATACAGTTTCGGTAATATCTGAATATTTAATTATTGTGTCAGATTTTTTAATACTTTTTTTCAAGCGAGAAATTTTAAGTTTATCTCGGCAGTGTAAACATTTTTCAAAGTAACACCTTTCTCATTCAAAAAATTTTCATAGCTTTGACGAACATGACATCCTTTACAAGTTTTATTTTGTTGGTTTGACGTCGTGGCGTAATAAAAGGAAATGTAATAAGAAAACTTTGCGATCTTTTATTATATTTAGTAAATGTTATGTTACGCGTTTAATAAAAAAAGTAATTGTAAAAAAAAAAAAAAAAAAAAAAAAAAAAAAATTATGAAAAAAAGAGGAAAAAAAAAGTGAGGAAAAAAAAATTAACTTTATTCAACGTGAAAACAATTATACGTCAGTGATTTTTGTAAATATAATTCCCAAAGATTAGTATCCGAAATCACGTATTACCCAGCAAAACTATCCGGCTACCATTTTTTCTAGGCGACGCTAGGTAAGTTGACTCGTTACATCACGTGACTTTGGTAGTTTCACCTCTAAAATCGATCATAATTGCTAATTCGCACAGGTTACTTACTATATATTCAAATTGTGTTGCACGAACATTTCCATTATTTATTTTCTAGTTATGGAGTTACATAAAAATTTTGTCAGAGGAGCGAAGCATCAAGGTTTCTATACAAAACTTTTCTAAAGCCATGCCAGTATATCTAGAGTATATTATTATTATTATTATTATTATTTTTTTTTCAAATAACTGTTGACTAAAATTTCTGTACAATACTACAGAAGGACCGGACGGAGGAAACAGCGATATCTGCAACAACCGAACGGGGATCCACGATGGATAGAAGTGGAAGTAGATGGTACGAGGATTCCAGCAAGCACAATGGTGGATGGCCTGTGTATCTTTTACTCGATAAACATCCAAGTCCCGAGAAAATTAATGACTCTCGAGAAACAAACAAAATACCTATTCAAACATCTAAACCAACTGTCAAGTTGGATAATGCTCTTGGAAGGAAATCCTATGTATCGTCCCACAGCGTTAACAATCTCGTGGAAGTCGGACCGTCAGAAACACTGCCAGAGAGTGAGGAAGACTTCGTTCGGAGCATCGTTGATAGGATCTTCGAATGTCAAAAAAATGATATTGAAGATACGACAGGACTTCGACACAAGGAACCTGCAAATGCTTCCACGGGACAAGAACGGGAATCTGTTGGTGGCCGTTGGCACCCTGGGATTACGGCAACTGTGCGGAAATCAACTCGTGGCGTCACCTGTCACAGTGGAGGCAAGACCTTCCCATGAGGACGCGAACAATTTGTACGAATTCACAAGAAACAATGTCAATTGTCAGACGATGATGCAATACAATACGAGGAAGAGAATTTGCCCAAACTTCTTAATTTATTGAAAAATAACTATCCATTTCGTGAAGTGACAAACAAAGATAATATTTTGCGTAATGATGAAATTGAAAGGTTCACAGAACTTTATAATATTACTAATGTTTACCCAGTGCTCGCATGTTATGATTCGATTTTCTGGTTAAAAGATCCTGATGGCGTTATCTACCTGTGGTCTCGTACAGATGAAATGATAATACGTGGAGGAGGTGATATGAAAGAGGCTTTAATTAATTATCTCTTTCACCAGGAAAATCTTTGCTATATCAATGAGTATACACATGAATTGATACCAATAAAAGAGGCTGAAGATAAAGCTAATAAATGGTATGAAGAGGCTAAAAAAACTGCAACTAAATTTGTGATAAATGATGAGTCACTAAAACCGTTAAAAGAAAAAAAGAAAGAATCAAAAAAAGGTGGGAAACAAAAGAAGCGACAAAAAAGAAAAAATAAACATTAATACAGAAATTATTTGATTTATTTACCATTTATTTTATAGTATTTGCTTATTTAGCCTTTTCTTTTAAAAATCAATTCTTTTAATTAATGTAAATAAAGATATATGCGAATTTAAATACTCGAAGCCCAATATGGCAAAGTTTTATGTAATATAACATATTAGCAACAGTATATGACATGCTTTCAAGGGAGTATCCTAGGCTATTTAATGCGAGTCCTTAATTCATTGCTTTCTTACATTTCGGAAAATTTCTATTTCTACTAACTACGAGATTCTTATACACCAGATCTCCGATCCCCAGTATAAACGCCGGAGCTGGCAAGAAATAAAAAATAAAATAGTCCTGCAGGAATCACTCTAACCATTATACTTCATTTTCATAATATACCATTCTGCACTGTAATCAAAAGATTCATTTCCCAGTGCTATATATTACGCTTGACTTTTGCATTATCACATCATAAGTGCAACCGTGAAGAATCTTCACGATCAAAAATCATGCGAAATTTTTGCCAATCGTTACGAATCGTGACGGAAATTTGCCGAGAAAAATTTTATTAATACGTTCACTTAAAATAATTTTTCAAATGTAAACGGGTTTTGCCAAGAAAATTTTTTATTAATACATGCAAAAAAATAAATACAAAGTTCAGGACGTAGCCTATGATACATGACAATTTTATTTTTCTATGCTAATTTCTATACATACGATTATTTTTTTCGAAAAAGATAAGAATATATTATTTATTTTCTGTTTTTACCTGCTTCAATGATTCCTGCGATTCAATCTGGCGAACTTAATTTGCCTGAACAAGTCCTTGATAGATTCTACCAAATCGTCATGGGTCAATATAGCCTTGTTGATTGGGAGACAACGAACTTAACAATACATCCACTTTTCCTTCACTGTTATTATCGGAGCTGGACGAAACCAGGGACGATGATTTTCTGCATTTTGCAGAAAATCACGGAATAGGCATATAAAAATGGTGATAATTTCTAAATTTTTGGCCTAGATTAGAATGCTCAACCATAATAATGCCGGCCGACACTATTTTGGCCAGGGATTGGTGAATCATAATGCCACCCGATTTTATGTAATTCTGGCCAAATCGCAGAATTTTGCAGAATTATCTTTTATCACAGACGGAATTGGCTATTTATCACCGCAGAAAATCATCGTCCCTGGGTTGGACGCCCGATACTAAACTAAAAAAGTGCAACATGTCGATCACACCTACTAAATCTGATGAATATCATATGCCTGATGAGATTTTTTAATTTTAATAATAATATTTTATAAACCATGAAACTTTAAACTTCAACCGACACTTTTGTATTCAAGGGATGTCCAACATCAAAGAACCTGTAACTCGTGATACATTATTAAAAACTGTCAACACATTTCCTATCATAGATAATCATGCCCATAATCTTTTGAATTCATCAGCATCATTATCCTGTCCGTTGGAAGTTTGTTTTTCTGAGGCTCGTGGTGAAGCGCTACAAAAGTCTATTGAAACAAGCGCTTTAAAACGTGGTGTGAGACAACTCGCTAAACTTTATAATTGTGAAGCGACGTTGGAGAGTGTTAAATGTGTTACCGATGCCATTTCTTATGAAGAATTATGTAGGACATGTTTTGATCCTACCGGAATTCAATGTCTCTTATTAGATGATGGACTTGATTCATTAGATGGGCTTCGTGATGTGGAAAGTCATGTGGGATTGGTTGAATGCGCGAAGAGAATCGTTAGAATTGAAAGGATTGCTGAACAAACTATTAGTGATTTGGTCATATCTTTTAAAAATTCCGGAAATGAAAATTTGGAATTAAAATCTTTTCAAGATCCTTTTAAAAATCAACTTGAAACTTTAGCTAGATCTGATCTTGTGGTTTCATTTAAAAGTATTGCTGCTTATAGGACTGGATTAAATATCAATTGTGATATTGATTATAATCTAGTTGTACGTTCTTTAGCAAAATTTATATTAGAATGTGTCGTAAGTGATGGAGAGAAAACTAAAGTTGTTGAAACCAGGCTTGTTGATAAAATTCTCATCGACTATATTTTAAATTTGGCAATTGAAGTTGCAGTTAAATATGATATTCCAATCCAGCTTCACACAGGTATAGATAATGTATTTTATATATATGTTATTTCTTAAAAATTTATCTAATTAACAAAAATTTTTTATTTTATTATGTTCAAAGGGTTTGGTGATAACGATCTTGATCTTCTTACTTCAAATCCTCTTCATCTTCGAAAATTAATTGAGAAATATCCGACTGCAAAGATTATTTTATTACACTCGTCTTATCCTTATACGCGTCAGGCGGGATATCTTGCTTCAGTATATTCTAATGTTTATGTTGATATTGGTCTTGTATTTCCTATGATTTCTGCAACAGGACAAGAAACAAATTTATTTGAATTGGTATATTACTCGAAATTATATTTATTATTTTGTTTGAATTATTGAATTCACATTTTAAATAATTTCTTTACAGCTCGAAATCTGTCCAACCAACAAAATTTTGTTTAGTACAGGTAATTCATGATTTTGATAATCAAAGATTTTTTTTTTTTTAAAAAAAAAAAAAAGTTTATCGAAATTTCAAAATTTCAGATGGTCATTATCTTCCAGAATCATTTTATGTTGCAACAATTCAAGTAAGAGAAGCATTGGGTAAAGTTTTGTTAAAAGCAGTTGAGAATGAAGATTTCACTATTGAAGAAGCGATCAAAATAGCCAAACAGATCATGTTTGAAAATTCGAATGAATTATATAAACTTAACTTAAACCCCAAAATCATTTCAAACCAAGGTGATTATTTTATTTTATTTTTATATATTTTTTTTTTTTTTAAGGTTAAAAGTAAAAATTTTCAATTTTCTAAAAATTTTTTTAGAATATATCGGATCATCTGCTAGAATTTCGAATCTTGCTCTCAAAGAACTTAAACACAAGGGAGTAAAATACGTACGATTGGGATGGGTAGATTTTACAAATATGCTTCGATTTCGAGCAGTTCCGATCGATAGATTTATTCAAAAAACAGTTTTCAGCGGAATAACGATCGCAAAATGTTTAAATACTTTACCCGTTTATGGAGATGTTCTTGTAAAAGAAACGGATTTTGGTCCTTCGGGAGAAATTTTCATGAAACCTGACTTGAATACAATTGTACATTTACCTTATCTTCCTGCACATGCTTTCGTTCATATGTCGTTTGAAAATAAAGTGACTCCCGATGACGTAAGCTATCCATCTAGCGAATCTTCGCCTTATCCAGTATGCTTAAGATCATGCTTGAAAAATATCGTTGAACTGGCAAGAAAAGAATTTGGAATTGATTTTCTAGTTGGAATTGAATCAGAATTTTTATTATTAAGAGGTGGAAATGCTAACCACCAACCTTATCAACCCAATGCTGTTGATAATACGGTATATTGTGCTGCAGCAGCTTATCGAGATTTTAGTACGATTCAAACAATCGAACAAATTCTTGATGCTTTGCAAGATCAAAATATTGAGCTAGAACAATTCCATCCAGAATCGGCTCCGGGTCAATTTGAAATTATCACTAGTCCTGATAATCCTTTAGCCGCTGCTGATAAGGTTGTCATAACACGACAAACTATTTATGATGTTGCAGCTAAAAATCTTCTTAAGGCGACTTTTATACCAAAACCCTTTCGTGATAAAGGTAAAGATTATTTTATCAATTGATTTATTATTATGTTAATTATTATCACCTTTAACATCATAATTTGTATATTATCCAGCCGGAACAGCCTCACATTTTCACATTTCTATTCAAGAAATTGATCAGAGTAAAAAGATTTACGATGATCATCATTCAAAATTATCTCGTAAAGAAAGTTTTTTTGTTGCAGGTATATTAAGCCATTTGAAAGCGATAGCTGCTTTAACTTTGCCAACGATTAGTTCTTATGAAAGAACAGTGATAGGTGAGGGTTTTTTTAACAGAATACGAATGGTTTGTCAGTGGGACAATTATTATTTAGTTTTCTTTCTAATCACCAACCTTTCATACATTCTAAAGGTAGTTGGACTGGCAAATGGATCAGTTGGGGTATCGAGAATAGGTAAAATTTAATCAATCTAAATTAGGTAAAATGATATTAAATATCAAACTTTTTTTTTTGAATGAAAAATGATAGAGAGACACCCATTAGAGCATGCTATCTTCCTAGGGAAGGAACTAAAGGAGAAATGGATGTTAATTTTGAAATTAAATGTGTTGACGCAACAGCAAATCCTTATTTAGCTTTGGCGGCTATACTTTGCGCCGGTATTGATGGCATTCGAAAAGAAATGGAATTAAAAATGCATTATTGTAATGGTAGGATACATTCATTGTTTCTCTAATTTTATTAAATTTCTTTTTGAACCATTTGATATTTCATTGTAAGATGATCCAGAATACTTATCTCCCGAAACTCGTGCAAAACTTGGAATTACCGAACAATTACCTGATAGCCTTGCAGATTCTTTAGCTGAATTGAAAAAGGATGAAGATTTGACTAAATCTATCGGATATGATATAATCAAAAATTATATTGCTCTTAAAGAGGTACGTAAACGTAAAATTTAACCATCCATTATTTAATTTTTGATCTTCTGGACTAATTACTTTTGTTTTTTCTCTGTTATTTAAGGGTGAATTAAAATTCTTTAAAAATTTGTCCAAGGATAAAATATACGAAATTCTTCTTGAGAGATTTTAGATATTAAAGAGTTTAATGCTTTGCAGTTATAAAATGATACGTAAAAGGATTTTTAACTATTAATCAAATTCACAAAAATTTTTATATTGCTTTGTTCATTTTTACGTAAATTCCGGAATAATTAAAATAGGTATCCTTTTAAAACGTTGAATCAAATAAAAAGTATTTTACTTTTAAAAAATTTACATGTAACGTATGCGTGTTATACAATTTAATTTATTTTATTTCCAAAATATGATGCAACGTAAAAGACACTCTTTATGCAACAAGTGTAATAAAATCGTACAAGGAATATTTACAAACTATAATATGAACTCGTAATCATTTACATACAGCACATCAAATCTGTTGTGATGATATAAAAAAAAAATTATATAGTTAAAAAAAAAGTAACGAGGGGGGGAATAAATTTTTAATTACATCATCTTTCCAATTCCATTATTTGTTTCCTTAATTTATTTATAGTCCCATCCATCTGTCCAATTTCATTTTTCAAGTTGTCATTATCATTTTGTAATTCTTTTAGCTCTTTCTTCTTCTTTTGCCTTGACCTTGCAGCTGCTTTTCTATTGAGCATCTTCCTCCTTTCTCTTTTTGAATTTCTATTGACATCACTGGAATTACTCGAAGAACATGAAGAGGAGGAGATATTGCTAACTGGTTGACTTTGCTGAACATATTCAGAAGGTGACTGTTTTGTTGAAATTGATCCTTCAGCTCATACATACATAAGGGAATGTAAACAAGAAATATGACGAGGAGCTTACCAAAAGAAAATCATCAATGAGGAAATCATAATCAGGTAATGCCTGAAAAATTTCTTCGTTTTCCATGATGTTTTCTTTTTTTTTCCGTTAAGAGAAATACAAAAAAAAAAAAATGGAGCACATAAACCTATCCAAAAAAAAAAAAAATACATTTCTTTATAAAAAATAATTAATTCAACTACATCATTACATTTTTTTTCAAACTTTTCCTTTAATGTCTTGATGTCAGTATAAAAATTAAAATTCAAAGAATTCTGAACAGATTTTACACTCCTCAGATTTAAGGAGCCTTTCCAGAACTCATTTAGGTGGTGATTTAAAAATTTTTATCGCCGATTACCTAACTTTTTAACGCCTGACAGGTAATGAATATTCATTAAGAAAAGGATCACTAAGGGGAAACATTTTGATAAAAAAATATTATAAAGATGGTAAATATAATTAATTAATAGCCTTTCTCACGTTGGGAACTAAATCTCCATTAGAAACTTTTATTAGTAATTGAAATGAAAGAATGAAAAAATTTGACAGGCAAGCAATTGAAGCTTGAACTTATTTGACACAATGTAATATAGTTCATAATTTAAGTTTTTAAATCTTAATAATAATAAGAAATATTTTTTTTTGTTATAATAAATTAACTAATAATTGGAATTAGTTATAGTCCATGTCTATAATTAAATATTTTGAACTTAGAATTAGTTCGAATAAAGTGAAATAATCAAAATAAAATAAAAAAAAAAATATTGATATTGGTTAATTCAATTCATTTGACAACGAATCATTGGTATTTTTAAAGGAAATATTAGGCAGATAATCGTTGCACCTTATTTAATTAAATAAAAATACTCATTTTTGAAACTCTCTTCATTGACACGGACTATGCATTATTCAATATGGTAATAAAAAACCATTTATCTTTAAATTTTCCGAACAGTTTTTTTTTATTTGAAGAAAACTTAATCAAAAGACATATAATCCAACAAAAAAAAAAAAATTAATGATTACTGAGTAAGATTTCTTCACAGAATTTTAAGTTACAAAACGTCTTTTCTTTTTATTCTGGAATAATTAAATCCTAATGTATTTTTTATTTTATTGTAACAAAATGAATAAACTTTTTTAGGTAGAATGTCGTCAAAAAAAAAAAAAAAAATTTTTTTGTACCTCAAGAGCAAATAAAAAAAATACAAATATATAAAAATAATAACAGAAAAGATTTTTTTTTTTTAATAAGAGGTTTTAATACGTATTTAGCTTTTTTTATGCAAATAAAAAAAAAAAAAAATTATTTTAAATTTCATTACTGAGTTTTCTTGGCTTCGCAAGGTTCTGACTGCAGTGGAACATGTAAACTAAAGATAAAAAAAAAATAATCAAGTTAGTTTACAAAATAAAATTTATACATTTTTAAATGTTAAACTGGACCGAAGGATAAACGCTAGAGCGCGATCTAAATCTTAACCCACTAACTCTAACTGATCCCAGGCATTAAACGAGTTGAACGCAGGTTTTTCTCCCTCAAGGAAAGAAAAATATTTTTATCTCTCGAAGAGAAGAAAGTTTTTATCTCTTTAAGAGAAGAAAACAGTACGTAGCATTTGTACATATACATCAAAACTCGTTCACGAAATAAAAAAAAATACGGTGCAAAACCTCTATACTCAAAAATTTAACATAATAAAAGTAGAGTTGATTCAAATTAGCATAACATATATAGGGATGGGAAATTAAAGATTTGGTTAATTAACCGGTTAATTAACTGTTAATTAACCGTAATATAAATTTTAATATAAAATTTTATATAAAAAAAAATTTTTTTATTAAACGGAAATTTATTATTACAAAAGCTATATATTGATATTGTTACAACAAATTTATTACATTTGATTCAAATCCGAAAATACTATCATCAAAATTCAATAAATCATCGTCATTATCATTGCCTCCTTCATTATTATCCTCTTTATTCTTTGTGAATTTCTTGCCTTTATTACATAACTTTATTTTTTTGAACTCATCATACATCCGGAGATTTCCATAAATATAAACCAACTTTTTAACGCGATCATTACGTAATCGATTTCGGATTTTGCTATGAATAAATCCAAAAGTAGAAAAATTTCTCTCTGCAGCTGCTGATGATGTAGGAATTAAAAAAATTTTGATAGCCAATTGCTGAAGCTCACAACTTGGCCATGATTGCCACCACACAGAAGGACTAAGAGTAGATGATGACATCCAAATTATTTCATTATCATATGGTGAAGCTTTTTGGCGAAATTTTACTAGCTCAATAAACAATGTTACAGATTTCTCCTGATCAAACAATTTGTTAGTAAATGCTGTAAATTCAGAATTTCCAGTTACCTCTAAATCTGTATTCCTATTTTCTTCTAAAAACATGGATCTAACATATAAGCAGCCATTATAATAGGATGATATGCATACTTCCATCTTTTTTGAATAAGTTGCTAAATATTTTTAGATAAATGCCATGAAACTTTACCAAAATGTTTTATTAATTTGCTATAATATGAATAAATCGTTGAGAGAGTAGATGTATCTGATTCAAAAGACTTTAATGCTACAACTATTAGTTCTAAAATATTAATTATCAAATCTATCATTTGTTAAAATTCATCTGATAATATGTTATTTCTCATTATTTGATCCATTTTTTGGTGAATTAAAGGATCCATTAATGATTGCTCAAGAGCAATTCTTGATTTTTAAAGTGATTGAAAACAGCTAAGATGTGTACCCCATCATGTAAGTACTGGTAAAACTAATGTAATCTCCTTGTTATAATTTTTTAATTGAATACATTTTAATTTTACTGCTATTTGTAAATGAGATCTAAAATAGATTATTATTGATTTTACATTATTAACTATAGCTTTAATTTTATTAAATAATAAAATATCTTTAATTAAAAGATTAATAATATGAGAATTACACCTAAGACAAACAATATTAGGATATTTTTCTTTAATATTTCTCTATACTGCTTTCATTATATTAGTTGTATTTGTAATAACTGCTAAAAACTTTTGGATACCAATAATATATATTTGTTGAATTATTTGATCTGCAATCCATTCTGCTATATGAGATTCTTCACCTGAAAAAGTTGCATTAAAAAAAATGGTTTTAGAATACAAATAATATAATTATGTACTGAATCTCTGTTAATATTAGACTAGCCATAAGAAACTATATAAAGAGTTATTACTTTTAAAATTTGTTCATCTGCTTGTATCTTTACATCTTCATAAAATTCATCTAATAATTTATTAGAAATCTTCTTTCTATTTAGAAGTTTAAAAGATGGTTGAAGATATTTAAAAAATTGAATAACAAAGGGGTTATCAATAAAGGTAAATGGTATTCTAGCTAAATATAATGCCTAAGCTAATAAATATTTAAAAGATTCTTATTTTTCTTTCTTCATATTATCAACAAAATTATCTAATTTGATTTGTTTTTTAAATCTATTTTTTTCAATAAAAGGTATATTTGTATAAGTTAAAGTATATTCTGTGATATTTAAGGGTATAATATTTTGTATTAAAATAGTTTTTTGTAATTTAACATTATTTGATACATTTAAATGTTCATTAAGATAAGCTTGCATTCTTAAAGGAATAGCTCTATTGAAAACTTTAGAATAATAATTACATTTTATAGAAAAATGTAAACTTAGTTTAATCTTATTATTTTTTATTGAACTTTGTATAATAATTGTTCAATGATTCTAAATAGTTCTTTTCCTTTTTATCATTTTGAATAAAAAACCAAAGAAATTATTGAAAATGTACTTCAAAAAGTGTTAACTTTATTTATAAATCAAATATTTGATAAGTTGAAAATAATAAAAACAAGGAGAATAAGGAGAATAAGTAAAGTTATTTAACATAATTTTAAGTTTTATATATTAAAAAAGTTAAAAAGAAAAATTTATATATTCAAAATTAAACTTTCATAAAATATTAATGTTAAATGATAAAAAAGATGATCTATTATCTATATTAATCTATTAATTTTATTGGTCAATTTTCTTTTGATTTGATTGGTCAATTCAAAATTAACTAAAATGGTTAATTATTTCTTAGTTAATTAACAGTTAATTAACTAAGTTAATTAACGCTCATCCCTAAACATATAATACAAACATTTGATTTAAAAATTTTAACCAATATTAATGATAAACAAACACTAAAGCTTTCTAAGATATATGTTATTTTTTTATATTATTCAATATTGATTGAGTTATATTAAGTTAAAGTGATAATCAAATTTATTATGAAATTAAAAATTGAGAATATGATAATTTTGTGTAATAATAATATTATTTAAGAAATTGATTCTTTTTTATAAATTTAATTAAAGATTTTTTATTCTAATTAAGTTTTTAATTAAAAAAAAATTACATTATTGGTAAATTTTTGTGTAATATTATACTTATTTTACTTAATATGCCATTAAGAAGATGCCAAATTGCTATATAAAAAAATTTTCAAAAGTGAAAAAAAATAAAAAAAATGCAAAAATATTAGATTTAGATTTTATTTTATTTGAAAACTTTTCTGAATTTAGTGATGAAGATTATTCATCCGATTTCAGCAATGATTTTGAAAAAAATAATAACATATTGAACAAAAATTAAATGAAGTTAAAAAATTAGAATTAATAAAAAAAATTAAAAAAAAAAGTAAAAAAAAACAAAGAACAAACTTGAATTATCACAAGCCACTAAATATTGAAAATATGAACCATCTGGTAAATTTACATTAGCAGCAATTAGAACAAAATCTCTTGATCATTTTTTTGCATATATAAAATAAAATTTTAATACAAAAAATAATGAAAATGAATATTTAGTTAGTAAAAGTAATGTATTAGATGTTAGTATGTCTGGTATTAATATATCTAATAATAATGTATTAAGAGATGGTGAATTTGAAAATAATGATATTTATATATCTGATTCTTTTGATAGTAATAATAATTATACATCTAATTTTTCTAATAGTAGTGGTTATTATACATTGAATTTTTTGATAGTGGTAGTGATTGTACATCTAATTCTTTTAATGGTAGTGATAATTATGCATCTGATTCTTTTAATGATGATGGTGATTATGCATCTGATTCTTTTAATAGTAATAGTGATTGTGCATCTAATTCTTTTAATGGTAGTGGTAATTATGCATCTGATTCTTTTAATGGTGGTGATGATTATACATCTGATTCTTTTAATAGTAGTAGTAATTATGCATCCAATCCTTTTAACAGTAGTGGTAATTATATATTCAATTCTTTTGATAATGGTGATGATTATGTATCTAATTCTTTTGATGATGGTATTTCTGATCAAAAAGAAAATTTAATTAGTTTAGAAAAATTGAACAACTTAAAAATATTTTGCAAAATGAAAAAAAAAAACTTAATTGCATTTAAATATCTCTATTATCAGGCAATATATGAATATTTTTTATATTTAAATAATAGTTTTAATAAGGTAGAAGCAAGCATTAATATAGCAAATAATCTTTATCTAAAAGGTTTTTATTAAGCAAAAAATATTCGTGATTGGGCAAAATATTAGATAGAAAATGAAATGTTACCAATAAGTAAACAAGAATGTTATAAAAAATAAAGTCACTTATTAACGATAAAGATCTAATTAATATTAGTCTTAGATATATTCATCAAAATAGTGATAAAATAATACTAAAAGATAACCAGCAATTTATTTAATCAGTACTTTATAAAACAACAAATGAAAAAAATAATTTCATTAAAAACTTCACGAATTTGGCTAAAAGAACTTAATTTAGTTCTACAATTTCAAAAAAAGCATTTATTTTAATAATCATGAAAGAAAGAATATATTAGCATATCATAAAGTTTTTAAAACAAATGAAAGAATATGAACAATTTATGCTAATATTTGTTGAAAACAAAATGAAACAAATTAATCCAGAAATTACTGATAACCAAAAAATGCATATATTTGTAATACATGATGAATTATTATTTTATGCAAATAATAATCATCCAATTATATAGACATCATTTGAAAAACTACTATTTCAAAAAAGGTCAAAGCAGATCAATTATGATTAGTGAATTTATGCTTAAAAAAATTAGACGATTAAAATTAACTTCAAAACAAGTATAATTAAATCCAAATATTCTAATTGAAGCATGAAAATTTTTAAACTTGAAAAAAATGCAGAGGGTTGGTGAACTGCTGATCATTTAATTGATTAAGTTATTAATTTCACTATTCTTATTTTTAAAATAATTTATCCTAAAGTAATTACTGTTATGATATTTGATAATAGTACAAATCATGAATCAATTCTAGCAGATAGTTTAATGTTTCATTAATGAATTTTAATCTTAGAGACAAATAATCATATATACGTTTAACTTATTTTAGACTAAATAATACTTATCAATTAATGGTTTTTCCTGCTAATCATCCTACATATCCTAATCAACTAAAAGGAATACATGAAATATTAAAAGAAAGAAATTTATGATAAGATGGATTAATTGAAGATTATTAATTATGTAAAGGCAAAAATAAAATTATAGATGATCAAAAAAAAGATTGTTTATATGAGAAGAATTTTATCATTACAGCCTAATTTTATTGTTCAAAAATCTCGTCTTCAAAAAAAAATTAAAAAATGAGATTACAAATATATTTTTTTTCTAAAATATTATTGTAAGCTCAATTTTATTGAGATGTATTGAAGGGCTGCTAAAAAGTATACTAGAGATCATTGTGACTATTCTTGATTAGATTTACAAAAAGTTATATTTAAAGCTTTAGATTCTATACCATTAATAACTATTCGTTGATATGCTCAAAAATCTTAGAGATATATAGATATATATAGGAAAGAAATTACAAGTAAGCTGGCAGAGTTTGCAGTAAAAAAATATAAGTCTCATAGAAGGGTATCTGATAATATATATAATGAGCTTGATATAGTAAAATAATATATAAATCATGTAATTTATATGATCATGTGATAATTAAATAAAGTAATTGAATTGAGAATTTTTTTTATTTGATAAATCAATTCCTTTTTATAAATAGGATTCAAATTCTTTTATTTTTTAAAGATTCAATCATAAGATAAAATTTTATTTAAAATTTTCTAATTTTTGATTATAGAGATTCTGCACTATATTACTACATAAGAAACAAAAGTACTTATTTTTTATTGGTTTTTCTTTTGGATTATTTTTCTCGATTTTTGTAAAAAAATATAAAGGTCATTAACTAAAGATAAAAAAAATAATCAAGAAAAAAAATACACTTGGAATAATAAAATATATAAGGCAATCAAGAAGGGTAAAGAAAAAGGTTAAAATTTTATGAGGTGAGGCGTAAATGTGAAATGTTTATGTTTACATCACACTAACTATTGTTACTGATCCTAGAGACTCGTTATTAATTTCTAAAAATAAATTATTGAGACATGTTATTCTTTATTGTCACAATTGAATTTCTAAAAATAAATTATAATGAGACGCGTTATTATTAATTGTTATAACTCATCATGGATACAGATTTCTAAATATATATAAATTATAGAGAGACGCATTATTATTGATTGTTATGGTTACAAATTTCTAAAAATAAATTATTGAGAGACGCGTTATTATTGATTGTTATGGTTATAAATTTCTAAAAATAAATTATTGAGAGACGTGTTATTATTGATTGTTATGGTTACAGATTTCTAAAAATAAATTATTGAGAGACGCGTTATTATTGATTGTTATGGTTACAGATTTCTAAAAATAAATTATTGAGAGACGTGTTATTATTAATTGTTATAACTCATTATGGTTATTATTTATTTTTCTCAAAAAAAAGCCAAAGAATAGCTGTGAAGGAGGAACCGGTTACGTACATTTTATTCGTCATAACCTTTTATTTACCAACCAAATTACCTACCTACCTACTTACAGTATTTATGAAAGGTGTGTGTGATATGCACCTTACAATTGATTTTAGTTTTAGACAGAAAGTTGTAACCTTTATTTCATATTTTCGGAATAAATATGTGGAAGCAAGTCTTTGTCACTATTAGCCGTCGTATTTATACTAAATATTGTTATCATAAAAAAAGGAAAATTAATGAAATACGAAAGTGAGAGGAGAGGGCCTTTGATAAAACGTCGAAAATACTTACAGGACAGGTATAGATCTTTCTATGTCGTAGACTAAAAGTAATACTTAGTGCATGCCGATATTCCCTCGGGCTTCGATTCGGTACAACCTGGTGGCATACCAGTTTCAAGCCATAGACAAAATTAGGTTCCGGGAGGGACCTAGCCAGGCTACCGCTGAGAGGTTCTCACGTCATCCTCTATCTCAGGGATCTAGGGACCCCCGTTGGTTTTAAGGTTTAAATTCCTAGTACGTAAAACCGTGACTAGTTCGCCTAGTGCAATGATATGACGACGTGGTAGAACAAGCCATGATAGTATCGACCATTATCGTGATATCTATTCTTTTTAAGTTTAGGTGATAATGATTAACCTTGTTCTTTAATTCATTTTTTAGTCGAGTTGTTTATCCAATAGATGCAAAAAATAATCTTTGAAGTTTTCCGAAAATTCCCAAAGTTCCGTAAGTAATAATTGTGTATAAATCCTCGAGATGATGGATGTGTTGGATATGAATTATTTCTAACAAAATTGTCTGCTATAATACCTTCCATTAAAGGTTTTTTTATGCCCAAAACTTCTAAATTTTACGTACGGACAAGATTTAGATATGATTGATTGCAGCTGACGCAATACAACTAATAGAGGAAATTATGCCATAAGTGACTACGGTGGAGATGGATTACATAATTCTTTTCTGATCTAATAATATTATAAGTTTTTATGCGAAATAAAATTCTGGTTTAAATAAAAGGATACAAATGTATTTATGAATTGAGTTATTTTTTTTTTTAAATTAATAAAAACGAATTTTGATACTCAAGAATTATGTATTTTTTCACTTTTTTAAAAAAAATAAATTTATTGGAATATGCATAAATGTCATAAATTTTATTACACACAAGCAAACAAACTAGATAATTCATGAGTTTGTGTTTAAAGTATACATTAATCCATCGTCAAACTTGATATTTCCAAGAAATTTGATGTCATTATTTGTGTAAATTCTAAAATTAGTTGATTAATAAATTAGAAATTGTTTAAACCAAATTTTTCATTTTTAGATTTTCACACTCTTCCTTTCACGTTATATCTGGTTTAATAAAAAGTTCCAATATTTAATATAATATGAAATTTAAAAGATTTCGGATTTTTTTCTGGAAAAATGCTTCCCATTACGACAGTAGAAAAAAAAGCACTTGATGAAAGAAGACAGTTAAAAACTTTCTTTATTTACAAATAATTACATAAATTGAAAAAAATAAAATATATATTAAATATTTAATGCTATTAAAGGTTAATACAACCTTATTCTTTCGATTCTAAAAGATTATCCAATCTTGTTCTAACCTCCTGCCGTCCATTCTCTATAGCTTTTGTATACCAATATATAGCACTCTCTACATTCTTTTCTACCCCTTCACCTTGCTCATATTTATATGCCAGAGCTTTTTGTGCATTAGTGTTTCCTTTTTCGGCGGCTAAATTATATAAATACAAGGCCTTTTCTTTGTCAATATCAATTACAACTCCATGATCGTAATAATAACCAACTACATGTTGAGCGTCAGGATTTCCTTGATTAGCCGATTTCTTATAAAATTCAAACGCCCTAGTTAAATTTTTATCAACACCCTTTCCAATTTCGTAAAATTCACCCAACTTGTACAATGCAATTTTGTTATCATCGTTTGCGGCTTCATGGTACCAATGATTAACTTTATCCAAATCACTGATGGTCTCCGTATCACCACCCTTTTTTCCAGCCGCCTCATCATACAATTCGAATCCTTTGTCTTTATTCATGCTTGTTCCCATTCCATTCATATAACAATATCCAAGTAGAAATTTGGCACCAAAATATCCTTTATTAGCAGATTTTTGATAATATTCAAATGCTTTGAATTCATCTTTTTCAACTCCATGTCCTAACTCGTAACATTCCCCCACATTATACTGTGCAATTTCATTTCCATTGTTCGCCGCTTTTTGACACCAGTAAAAGGCTTTTTCTATATTTTTTTCTGTTCCTTCACCTCTTTCATATAGATACCCGAGATTATTTTGTGCAGCCACATATTCATTTTTGGCAGCTTGTTGGTACCAGTAAAAGGATTTTTTTAAATTTTCTACCGTTCTTTCATTACTTTCATATACCAAGGCAAGATTGTATTGCGCAATGCTGTAATTCTTTTCTGCTGATTTTTGATACCAATAAATGGCCATCTCTATATTTTTTTCTGTCCCCTCACCTCTTTCGTATAAACAACCAAGATAATTTTGCGCGACTTCATATCCATTTTCGGCTGCTTTTCGATACCAATAAAAGGCCTTTTCTAAATCCTTTTCGGTTCCCTCACCTTTTTCATATAGATAACCAAGATTATGTTGTGCAACTTCATAACCATTTTCGGCTGCCTTTTGATACCAATAATAGGCCTTTACTAAATTCCCTTTTGTCTCATTATTGTCTTTATATGTAAATGCAAGATTATATTGTGCAACTTTATCTCCATCCTCGGCCGCTTTTTGATACCGATGAACAGCATTCTCTAAATTTTCTTGTTTCTCTTCACATTGCTCATGTGGATGTGCACGATTACGTTGTTCTCTTGCTGATTTTTGAAAAGAACTTTTTACTTTTCCTATAAGTGTATTACGTAAATTTTCAAGATTAATTTGTGCAGCTTCAAATCCATTTTCTGCTGCTTTTTGATACCAATACATGGCCTTTTCTGGACCCTTTTCTATCTCTCCACCTTTTTCATATAGTTGTGCAAGATTAAATTGTGCAATCTCATAATCATTTTCCGCTGCTTTTAAATACCAATAAATAGCTTGCTCTAGATTCTTCTTTACTTTATCACCTTTCTTATATAAAGAACCAAGATGATTTTGCGCAATTACATATCCATTATCAGCCGCTGTTTGATACCAATAAATGGCTTTTTCTAAGTCTCCTTCTGTACCTTCACCTTTTTCATATAAATAACCTAAATTATTTTGTGCAACATTATATCCATATTTTGCGGCTTTTTGAATCCAATGAAAGGCCTTTTCTAAATTCCTTTTTACTCCTTCACTTTTTTTATATAAACAACCAAGGTTATTTTGTGCTGCTACATAATCATTTTCTGCTGCTTTTTGATACCAATAAATAGCCGCCTTTAAATTTTCCACTGTTGTTTCACTATTTTCATATATATAACCAAGGTTATTTTGTGCAACTTCGAATCCATTTTCTGCTGCTATTTGATACCAGTGAATTGCTCTTTCTAAATTCTTTTCGGTTCCCTTACCCTTTTCATATAAAAAGGCAAGATTAAATTGTGCAGCAATATTTCCATTTTCCGCCGCTTTTTGATACCAATAAAATGCTTTTACTAAATTTTTATCACTTCTTTCACCTTTTTCAAATATAAGCGCAAGATTATATTGCGCAATGTTATATCCTTTTCTCGCCATTTCCTGATACCAATAAAAGGTATCATTTGATTTAAATTCTATTTTATATAAACTTTCAAGATAATTTTGTGCGACTTCATATCCATTTTCTGCTGCTTTTTGACACCAATAAATGGCTTTTTCGAAATCTTTTTCCATCCCTTTACCTTTTTCATGTAAAAGCGCAAGGTTAAATTGTGCAATTGCATAACCATTCTCTGCTGCTTTCTGATACCAATAAACAGCCATTTCTAAATTACTGACTTTTTCATCTTTCTCGTATAAATAACCAAGGTTATACTGTGCAACTTCGAATCCATTTTCTGCTGCTATTTGATACCAATGAATTGCTCTTTCTAAATTCTTTTCGGTTCCCTCACCTTTTTCATATAAAAATGCTAGATTATTTTGCGCAACTTCATAACCATTTTCTGCTGCTTTTTGAATCCAATAAATAGATTTTTCTAAATTCTTTTCTACTACCTTTTTATATAAGCAACCAAGATTATTTTGTGCAATACAATAATCATTTTCTGCTGCTTTATGATACCAATAGAAGGCTTTTTCTAAATTCTTTTCAGTTTTTTCATCTTTTTCATATAATAATCCAAGACGATTTTGAGCTTTAATGTTTCCATTTTCTGCCGCCATTTGATACCAATAAAAAGCTTGTTTCGAACTTTTTTCCTTTTCATATAAAGCTGCAAGATTATATTGTGAAATATTACACCCTTTTTCCGCTGCCTTTTTATGTAGATCAAAAGTATCATATAAACCTTCGTTATATAAAAATGCAAGATGATATTTTGCAGCATCAAGTCCATTTTCTGCCGCTCGACGATACCAAAATGTGGCCATTTCTAAATTTTTTTCCATCCCTTCACCTCTTTCATACAAATAACCAAGATAATTTTGTGCGACATAATAACCTTTTTCAGCAGCTTTCTGATACCAATAAATGGCCACTTTCAAATCTTTTTCGATTCCTTTACCATTTTCAAATATAAAAGCAAGATTACTTTGGGCGATTTCATGACCATTTTTTGCCGCCTGTCGATACCAATAAATGGACTTTTCAAAATTTACTTCCATTATTTTACCATTTTCATATAAAAGTGCAAGTTTATACTGTGCAATAGGATATCCATGATTTGCTGCCTTTTGAATCCAATAAAATGCCTTGTCTAAATCCTTTTGTCTTCCTTTACCATTTTCATATAAACAACCGAGGTTATATTGTGCAACATCATACCCACTTTCAGCAGCCATTTGATACCAATAGAAGGCCTCTAAATGATTTATCACTCCCTCATGACTTTCATACAAAGAACCAAGTTTATTTTGTGCCTTGAAATACCCATTCTCTGCAGCTTTTTGATACCAACGAAAGGCTTGTTCCATATCATTTGCGTTTTCATATTTAAGTGCAAGGTTGTATTGTGCAATTTCATGTCCATTGGCTGCTGCTTTCTCATACCAAAAGAAAGCATTTTCCAGGTTCTTTTCTGTTCCTTTACCTGTTTCATATAAAAGTGCAAGATTATATTGTGCGACGTTGTGCTCTTTTTCTGCCACTTTTCGATACCAATAAAAGGACTTGTATAAATCCTTTTTGACTCCTTCGCCGCCATTATAATATAGAATTGCAAGATTATATTGAGCGATTTCATATCCATTTTCCGCCGCCTTTTGATACCAAACCATGGCCTCTTCTAAATTTTTTTCCGTTCCTTTACCCCCTTCATATAAACGCGCGAGATTATATTGAGCATTTTCGTATCCATTCTCTGCTGCTTTATAGTACCAAAAAAAGGCTTTTTTCAAGTCCATTCCGGTCCCTCGGCCACTTTCATATAAACATGCAAGGTTATATTGAGAGATTTTATATCCACATTCAGCCGATTGTTGATAGAAATGAAAGGCTAATTCTAAATCTTTTTCCATCCCAATACCCTTTTCGTATGAAAGGGCTAGTTTATATTGCGTGAATGCATCACTTTCCGTTGAGTTTAAAGAATTATTTTCAGAATGCATTATGATTTTTAATTTTTATGAATATTTTCCGACCGAGTTCAGGTCGATTTTATTTATAAGCTACGAAATTTTGCATTTATGGATATTTATCACAAGTAAATGACTTCAACAATAGGAAAATAGGCTTTTTTAAATTGCTTTTGTTGGCCATAAAAGGTCATGCGGTCATGCAGAAGATCAAAGA